GGGGGGGTCCCCAACCCAGGCGCCCCAGGAGCCCCACGCACCCCGAGGCTGGACCTGTGGCGAGTCGGCCACACCACCGTCTCCCCTGGCCGGCTTTCAGGGCTGTGGACCTGATCCGACACGGAGGAAAGAAGATGCGTTTTCTGGTTGCCAAATCTGACGTGGAGACGGCCAAGAAGATCCGCTTCCGCACCCCACCTCCCTAGGGCAGGCTGGAGGGACAGCTGTGGCGGCCGTGCCGTGTGGTCGCGTCCCCTGCCGTGGATAATGTACATCTTAGTGTATATTTTATTTATATGACAGACGATACGAAGTTGTGACGTTTGTTACAGAGCTTTTATGTTTGAAAATTTTAATGGAAAAGTATAGATTCAATAAACTATCTTTCGTACTCTGAGAGGCTGGTGCTGCGTGCAGCCAGGGGGGGTGCCGTGCCGGGGTCCCCAGGGCCTCCCCCCTCCCCGCCAGCTTGGGAGAGACCCTGGGAGGACACGGGATCGCGGTTTTAAGGGAGTCTGTCTGCCCCCCACCCTGCCCAGAAACGAGCAGAGGGGAGGGGGCAGTGGGCACACCGGTGCGGGGCCCTCCTGGTAATCACAGGCTCGGCACCCGTCCAGGAAATGGTCTAGAACCTCCCTGAGAAAGTTACAGTGAGGGGCTTTACCCACCCTGGAGTACCCGGATCTCCTCCCCGCAACTCACGACCCCTCCCAGTTTCTCCTCGGATTGTGGAAGCTGAGGCTCGACCCTAGTACCAAGCTCTTAATCTGCCGTGGGGCTGGTGTCCACTTGGTCACCGTCCCTTCCCGACCGACAGGAAACTCACCTCCTTGGCTACCAGGCGGCCGAGCGCGTGCGGGGGCGAGGCCGGGTTCGCGTCGCGGTAATAGCGCGGCTCCGACACGTCCACGCCGGGCGTCTTTAGCAGGGTCCTGCGGCCAGTGTACCCATGGCTCCCGTGTCGTCCTCACAAGTCAAGGCTGGGCTCTGGGCCCGGGTCCTCATCTTTGACAGGAACAGACACCTGGGGGAGAAGGGGTTTCCGGCGGGTCAGTGGCAGACCCGCCCCTCACGTGGAAAGGGGTCTCCTGGAGGGTGCACGGCCACCTGAGTGGTGTCCTAGGTCTGGCGTGGCTCCCTGCTGCCCTCTGGTGGGCGCAGAAGACAGGCGCGCTTGCGTCTGCCCCGGGCCCTTTCAACGTGAGGCTCCGAGATTCCGCCTGGTTGGAAGCACCACCCTCTACTGAGTGCCCCAGACGCCGGGTAAGGTGTACTTGCACGAGTTTCATCCTAGGGGCACCCGGGTGGCTCCATCGTGTTCGTGTCCAACTCGGTTTCGGCTCAGGTGGTGATCCCAGGGTCAGGGGATCGGGCCCCGCATTGGACTCTGTGCTACACACGGAGCCTGCCTAAAATTCTGCCTTTCTACCCCGCGTGCGTGCTCTCTCTCTAGACAAAAAACATTTGAAACGTATGACTGAACCCAAGAGATCAATTCTGAGAGCCCCGAATTGCAACAAGGGCACCAGTTCAGAGAGGCCAGCGGCAGCCTACGGCCGGCCGGATTACAAGTCTCGGTTCCTCGCTGCTCTGTGCAGAGGAGGTGACGGAGCGTGGAGCCACGTGGCCGTGGGTCCACATACCTCAAGGCCCCCAGGAGCTGGTGCCTGGGGAGAGGCGACGAAAGCAGAGCTCACGGCAGGCTGAGCTCCCCGGGCCCGTTGCACACAATAGCTCACGAACTGCTCCCAGCCACAACACGGTGGGACGATCAACACGTTTTCCAGACGAGGAAACGTGTGCAGGAAGAGCGATTTTCTCTGTCTCTAGCCGTTACCCCAATAACGCTCTGGGGGAACAAATGACAGAGCTCCGTGTCTCCAAACAACGGCACCGACTCTCAGCTCAGCCAGAGGTACTTCCCCACTCCAGGTGGGGTCCAGGTCTGCCCCCACGCTTCTCCAGCCCTTCGACCAACAGACCAGCCAGGAACGTTCTCCTTGCAAAGCAAAAGCCAAGAGGCCGAGCCCAGCTCCCAAGCACGTTTCAACCCCCATCACTCCTGCCCACAGTCTGTCCGCCAAAGCGGGTGGGACCGCCAAGCCCACAATCAGCGGGCCACCCGCGGCCCACCCCCCCACTCCCAATCAGGCCACAGCAAGGGTGTGGGTATGGACCCCAAACCCAGGGGAACGAGAAATCGAGGCCACCGAGTCAGCGTGCCCCTCCAGAGCCAGCCGGGATCGGTACTCGGGTAGTTTGTCTCCAGACGCTTAGGCACCGCAACAGCTCACCCGGCCGAGAACACGCGAAAGCAATGTCTGGGTTGCCTGAGCTCTGTGTGCAGCAGGGAACCCATCTCCTCCAAGTCTGCGCTCACCAACTAGTTAGTACGCAGGTTTTGGACCCACACTGTGTGCGGACGAGCTGCGCGCTGACGATGGCACCGCAGGCACCTTGCAAAAATAATACTTTCCTCTAAAACATATATTCTCAACCCTGGCCTTCCGTCCTGGAGCTCGAGGCCCACGTGGGGTCGGCGCGGGACAGGGAGAGGTCCGCGGACCCCGGCCTGAAGCTCGCGGCTCACGCGGGGTCGGTAAGGGGTGCGGGGAGCAGCAAAGCCGGGTCTGCCCCATCCCGGGAGGACCAGGGTGTCCCTTGGCGCGCCCCGCCGCGATACCCGGCGCTCTGCTCCGAGGGCGCGTCACCTGTCGCCTGCCGGAAGTCATCCTGAGGCCGACTGTCGGAGAAGCGGGCACCCCTCGCCCGGCCAGTCCCGGGTCCGGGACTCCCCGGCGTCCACCCACCTCCGCGGCTGCCGTTTCTACAGGTGCCCGAGCGGCCAACCGGCAGGGTCCGGGCCTGGGGGCGTGGTGAAGGCGGAGCCGGAGCCGGGGCCGGGCCTGGGGGCGTGGCCGGAGTCGGGGGCGGGGCTGGCCCGGAGACTCGCGCAGCAGCAGCACCACCTGGTGGCCCGGGGGCCCCCTCGCACCGGGTGGAGCTGGGGAGCAGCCTAGGGAGCTGGTGTGCGAGGTGGGAAGCTGACGGCAGGAGGCGCCGAGGCTGGGGGCAGTTTCTCGCCCCACCACACCCAGCGTGTCTCCCCCACTTGCTCTAAGGCTCCGAGCAGCAGGCGGGCGTCAGGGTCCCCGGGAACCACGGCCGGAGCCCCCTCTTAACGGCAGGAGGCTGTAGGCCTGAAGTGGCAGCACCTGCAGCCCACCTGGCAGGGGCCCCAGGGCCCATGTAGCAGGAGGCGGGCGAGAAAGGACGCGGAGCCGAGGCCCTTCCGGGGGCAGCTGCACTTCTGGGTCACCCTGCTTCCTCCCTGCCGGTATTCCGGCGGTTCTTTCTGGGACCTCCGGGACGCTGTGGGGACGGAGCAGGCAGGAACGGCCTCCGGTGTCTGGTGTAGCTGCACGAGGGTCCCCAGGGCCAGGTCTCGCAGACCAGCAGTGCACCCCCACTTCTGGCCTTGCCCCCCTGGGTGGAGGAAAGCGCACAGCCCCTGCCTTGTGCACACAGATACTTGCGGAAAGAGGTTTATTTTTGCTGTACCTTTTCTTGCCCGAAACCAAGAACAGCCCGAAACAGACCAAGCAGATGCCATCCAGCCCCAAATCATACCTGTGTTACCACACGGCCCACCAGGGTTGGGGAGAGACACAAAGAGCCACCGACTGAGCACGTGACAGTCCTGGCAAGCACTGAGGGACCCAGACCCACCCGGGCCTCCTCACGTCCCCTCTGATCACGGGAGCCGAGGCCCGGCCCTCACGCCGGGCTCTTCGTCACCGTCCTTTCACCCCGGCAGGAGGCCCGTCTCCTTCTCCACCAGGCGGCTGACGGTGCGCAGGGCCAGGGGCAGGGCCGTGTTGGCGTCGCGGTGGTAGCGGGGCTCGGACACCTCCGTGCTGGGCGTGAGCACGAACTGGGCCACGCTGGGCATCTTCAGCAGGGTCAGCAGCTCAGCGGCCCGCGTGCGCACGGCTCCCGCGTCTTCCTCGCGGCTCGTGGAGCTCGGGGCTGGGCTCTGGGCCGGGGTCCTCATCTTCGACAGGAACAGAGAGACCCTGAGGATGAAGGGACCCAGGTCCGCTGCAGACGTGCCCCGCACGTGGAACGGGGCCCCCAGCTCGTGGGGCTCGAGCTGGAGAAGCGAGGCGGCGACGCCAGCAGCCCTCCCCCCGCGGAGCAGGCATCCGGGGCCCATTCCCTTACCCACGGGAAGCCTGTGGGTTTCCCTGTCCGGCCGCGACCGTACCTGGGAATCAGGTCTTGGCTCCGGGAGGCCAGCTTGGTCAGCGTGGTCATGAGCACGGTGACGACCTGCGGGGGACACCTGGGGAGGGCGGCCGACGGGCGGGACTGGGTGACCTCGAACAGCACGGCCTCCAGGGCCTCGAAGAACCTGTTGATCTGCTCCACGGTGCACCGCCGGTCCCACGACACGGACAGGTACTCGCCGACGGCCCACACCTGGGTAGGGACAGACCTCAGCCCCCTGCGGGCCGCCCGCCTCGGGAGCGGGGGTGCTGGCAGGGAGGCCGGCCTTACCACGGAGGCGAGCATGGCCCCTCGGCCCTGGATCCCGCTCACGCTCCCCACGAACTCCAGCAGCTCCTTCGCCAGCTCCACCACCAGTGACGGGTGCAGCGCGCACAGGGCCAGGAACCGCGAGCTCAGCACCCTGCCCGGGGAGGACCCAGGTGGGCCGTGGCCGCCCCCAGGCCCCAGGCCACGGCCCCTCACCC